CACTTCTGCGTTTCGTCTGGTGAGTGAGGTAGCCGGGTCCCACTTTATTAAAACCTTTTATTATGGATAATGTAAACAGAAATAAAAATTAACAATAACTACCAATGGGATGATTAATTAAGTACGTGCATTGCTTAACTTTTTGCTAGAAACTGGTGATTGAGTAGGCATTTTTCTAATAAAAGCACGTTCTCAATACAGTTCTGACAACGAATACATCAGTAAACTGTCTAGTTCATAAAATGATATTATATACAAATACGACGCAGATATGACACTAGTAGCGCATCGAAACTGAGGCACTCAAATTACGCCAATTGTTGTTATTAGATTGCAATTCTATAGACTGGCTAGTTCTTTGCGTATCATCTGTCACATTAACTTATATATGTCAATAGGTAATGTAAAGCGGAACAATTTTTAAACGTCGCGCAGTATGGACATGCGCAGTACCGTATTAACCACGTAGCAAGAGTAGCAATTGCTACGGGCCCCGCGCCAAAGGGGGCTCCGCATATTTAAACCCATCTCTACCTGAGCCTTAATTATTTGAGGGAAACTTATTGAATAAGTAAGAGTACTTTACTTTATTGAATTGTTTTTTTACCACTTAATACTTAAGAACCCATACACAACAGATCAAGGGCTGTTTGATAGAAATGTTTGATGGAAAAGATAAATATATTTCGAAGATATGTGAAGTTCGCCAACACCTGTATAGGATGTTACTTTAAATATATTGTTGTTTAGGCCGTAATTGAAGTCTTTGCGTTGGGCTATAACTGTGCGCAATTATAAATCTATCAATATTAATAAGTCGTTCCGTTGCACTAATGATTAACTCTTCTGATGTCATTGTGAATATACTGCGCATAATATAACTAGAAAATACTGGTGTCTGATTATTTTTCCGGTAAACATACAAGATAATCATTCAAGCACTTGTTTGCATACAACATACATGCACAACATATAAGCAGTTTGTTTACCGCTTAGCAATCATTAATTGCGACGCTTCCGGTATCGTTTGCGTCCGACCAAAGGGGAGAAGACGATTTGTGATAAATATCCAATTATCATTATTGGTTGAACCACAAGCGATTCTTTTTTTTATGTGTAATAGTGGCCAAACGAGCAGACGGTTCACCTGATGTTAAGTGAATACCGCCGCCCAAGGACATCTGCTACACTCGAGGGTTGCAGATGCGTTGACAACCTTTTGGAAATTGGGCTCCTGCTACCTCGTTCACCAGACGAAACGCGAAAGTATTATACTTCCTCTTTAAGCCGGTCTTCTGTGGGGTCGTGGTACTTACCCGGACGAGCCTGCCCATTCATGCAACAGCCGAGGCTGCTGCGTGGCCCTACCACCATAAAATAGGCGTATAAAGGCTCTAAAGGCGTATATCAATCAGCTCAAAGCCCGATCGAATTTCGACACTTAATGGCACTAAACAGTCTTAAGAATTCTACGCAATCGTTTGCAGCCAGTAATATCAATAAATATTATAAAAGGATAACTGGCGACACGCTTATTGTGGAGTGAGACACTACTTAATAAACATTACACATTCCAATGAGTGCTCACTTACAAAGTCCTTGTGATGTCATCTTGAAGGCTGTGGGAGGGGATGACGCAAGCCTTTATTCCTAGTCCTGACTCAGAGTACCCCTTTGCATCGTTCGTCGAATATCCAATTATCACGTATTGTAATGAACAACTAACAATGAAGTCATTTCTGATTCATTACATAAATTGCATCTTATTACATATATTATAGAACAAGAAAGCGATGTAATTAAAGTGATCAGTAACAAAAAAATATTTTAATAGATGATAATCTATTCGGAGTTTAAATTGTAAGCTGGTCAACGATAAACAAACGTGCAATTACTTCGTACACAGTACCTATATCTATAATTCGTTAATTGTAAACGATAAATTTATGTAGTGCCATTAATGAGCCCGTCCAATCGTGCAACAACGAATACGGTTGTTTTATGGGAGTATGATTGATATATTATCATAAATAACAAAGCTACTAAAATTCGTTATTAAATCAAAACGTTATCTACATATTATATTGGAAAAAATTGTTGGAACATCAAAATGCATTTCTTAGAACGGAAGATAAGAGTAGCCCTCAAAGATGCTGATGCTGAGTATTCGCCCAAATCTACACTAAAGTCGCTTTTTAGATATGAACTGAAAAATTCTTAATATAACTACTACTACAACTATAGTTGTCGTTTATTTTAGCCAAATTATTATATCTTTCCTTAGTGTTCATTGGATATTGTTTAAATAATTAAGTTCAATCTCTAACTATATGTATAGACTTATATTTAACCGATATGAACGTAAGAGGTCAGGGACCTTACGAAATGTCTTAGATCAGTTTAACTCGTGCCGCCCATGTTTAACTGCGATGGCACTTAACGACCGGATAATTGGAGATTAATGGGACGGTTAACGTAAATCTTTACTCCTGTTTTTATTGCAGTTACAGTGACATAATGCTGCAGATTACTCCCGGACATAATCTTTAACCAAATATTTTGTTATATCAGCTGTGTCGACTTTTTGCTTGATAAAATAATCCGAGGTATTTAAAATTTTTCACGTTACATTTAACGAAATACCAATATGCATACTTGTATAACCTTATAAAACTAAATTTATGTATAATAATAAGACAAATAGCCAATATATTTGACGGTTTGCTCGCCGTAACTATGAACGTCACCTTTTCCGCTTTTCGTCCGTATTGATCAACAAGTATTAAACTTCTATCGTGAATATATTTTTTTTATATTAATATACCCATTTTATTTTATGATCATAAGAATTTTTCATCTGCGGAGAAATTATTATGAGAGTTGAGTTACAGAGGCAACAACTTGTGTATAAAGCAATATTTATTTTTTATTAAATTATAATAGTATATAATAATAATCCTTACTAATATTATAAACGCTAAAGTTTGTATGTATGGATGGATGTTTGTTCCTCTTTCACGCAAATACTACTGAATGGATTTTAATGAAACTTTACAATAATATAGCTTATACATCAGAATAAGACATAGGACTGTCCTAGTTTTTTCGAACATCTCGCTACCCTCACCTTTGCTTCAGTGTTGCGATTCACGAAATTTCGTCAATCGCATCAGTTGTACCGCGCCGAATTTTCATTTCGGCAAGTGTTTACAGCGCCAAAAACAACATTGCACCTGGCATGTGATTTATTTTTAAACGCTGCTATAAATATTACGACTTCTCCTCGGTGTGTGACAAAAATTTTTAAACGTCATCTTGATGTTGGTTATTGGTTCTATATAAAGCAGACGCATCGTGTGGCGTGGGCGTAAAAGGGCCAATTACGTTGACGATTTTGGATAATGTAGGTACATACATAAAGCTCCAACGTTTGTGTTCCGAATTGAAACACATTTGCATTCTAATTTTAATTTGAGGACTTGACAATTTCGTGCTAATAGTGTTTGCTGCCCTTACCACTTCATTTATAACCAGGTCACGTGGCGTGCATGGCATTCAGTACAATTTCACTTTTATCTATCATATTGATTTCTTGTTTTTATTGGAGTATAAATATGTATTAAACGGAAGTAATATCATTATTACACTGAGCCGCAACCCGCAACATTTTTTTAATAAACTGTGACATAAAACATTTTTTTTTCACAAATTATTATTTATTTAAATTTTTCGTATTATTTAATAAAAAAATAACTTGCACAACGTTTGTGTATTTTATTTTATGTAATAATGATTCATCTACAACATATACGAATACTCTAGTTTCACGAATCATTTTTGCATATACAAAATATCCCATACTTTTTATCAACCCGCTATTTTTGTGAGTCGCCAGTGTTTCTTTTTTTCGAAAATAACAAACGTTACTTGTCGTTTGCCAAGTGTCATTCTTCTGAGTAAAAATTAATAGTTTTGTATAAAGGAGTTAAGTTAAAATGTGCCATAAAAATATAAATAAATATATTTAGATTGCATTGTCTTAATTAGCAGAGGGCTTAATTCGCAGAGGCTTAATTTTTTTCACACCCTCATAGGACCGTACACCTTAGTATCCGTTGGGTAAGAAAAGTTCTCGAGTGGCAGCATCGTACTGGCCATCGCAGTGCAGGACGACCCCCACTAGATGGAGTGACGACCTATACAAATGTGCGGGAAGTCGAAGGATGCAGGTGGCTTAGGATTGCGCTTCGTGGCAGTCTTTGGGGGAGGCCTATGTTCAGCAGTGGACTCAAACAGGCAGAAATGATGATGATGATACTTTGAGGTGTTCCGAGGAAAAAGAGTCTAACAAAGGATTACTTGTTACTTTGAAAAAAAAAAGTTAATTTTTTTTATGCGAAAAGTCAAACGAGCAGACGGTTCACCTGATGTTAAGTGAATACCGCCGCCCATGGACATCTGCCACACCCGAGGATTACAGATACGTTGAAAACCTTTTGAAAATTGGGCTCCGGCTACCTCACTTACCAGACGAAACGCGAAAGTATTTGTCATACTTCCACTTTACGCTGGTCTTCTGTGAGGTCGTGGTACTTCCCAGACGAGCCTGCCCGTTCGTGCAACAGCCGAGGCAGCACTTTGCAAATATTACTATTCGTTCAGAAACAAATGTTTCTCTTCTTCTCTTCTCTATGGGCAATATTCACGTATAAGAATTAAATAACACCGCATAATATTAACCCACAGAAGTAATACTTCTTTAATAAATAACAAAAAAAAACTTGACGGGTTTATATTACAATGTGAACTCACTATCACATTTCACAAGGAGATGAGACTTGAGTTTATTTCTTTAAAGTATTTATTATTATTTATGTTTTATTTTGAATTGATTTTGAGAAGATACCATTACAATCATGCATGTTAATTAATTTTTAGGTTCTCCTCTAGTGGAGACACCATTAAAATAAGTCTTTAATTATGATTTTCTTGCATTTCAGGTAGTGTTGGTGTTCATACTGAGTATAGCATCGCTGATTATCTACTTCATTGACGCATCCAGGTAACTCTCTCTCCTGTAATCAGTCCTGCATGAGAACTGTCAAGCAAAATGGCGGCGGAACTGACACGCGCACAATATAATGACGTCACAGCTCGCTAAATCGAGCGTTAAGTTCTGGTTTCATTTAAAAAAGTGTACATCTGTATATACAGTTCTTTCACTCACTTGTAGCGTAATACACTATTTTTAGTATAACTTAGAAAATAATTACAGAAATATAACAATAAAAAAAAGAGTAACATTATATCGGTAAGCAATGAACGAAAGAAATTCAATGAATAAATAGTGAAAGAATTGCCATGAGTTTAGTTTAGTTTAGTGATTCTTAAAAGCACGATGGTCAATAAATGTATGAAATAATGAATGAACATTAATCAATAAATGCCGTATCTTAACCTTCGAACCTAAGGCCTCAATTCGACCCCATTTCATTGCATCTGGTATTATAAGATTACTCGTAATAAACTAGCCTTGAAATCTGCCACTTCTTTGTAAAGGCAACAAACACGGCAAATGGGTTGCATGGTAGATCAAAATCTAGATTATCGTACATATTTTCCATTTGAGACATAAAAAGTAACGATTAATGATAGATTTTATAGTAAAATTTGTCTAACAATAATAAGACAACAACAATCGTAGGGGATGTTTTACAGTACATTGATATCCCTTCAACATATATATGTGTTTCTCAACACCTTTATCTAACACAATGAAAATAATCTCCGATGCAGAAACTAGGGCAAATAACTCGAATTCTGTGAAATCATTGTTTTGTGTTCAGATAAAAAGTTAGACCATAATATATAATTATAAGTAGATAATTAAGATTTTCTCGCCAAGTGAGAGCACTGTATGCGGCCGCCATTTTGCAAGGCATTCTGCGTGCGGGCGTCAATAATTACAATTATATAATAAGCAACGATATTAATAACCACCGTCTTATGACAATGCTGAAAAAAGGAATACGTGAGTTTAATGTTAATCAATCAATGTGATCCGAAACACTTGCTGGAGATAGTGATTATGTGTTAGCTTGTGTTTTTTTACCTGCTGATATGTTTAGTTGGCTTCGTGATATATGTATATGTTTAATATATGTTTGATTGAAAAACGCCGCCGCTCTGACAGAATTGAACAACCCATTGAAATAACAATGTCACAACTCCAACGGTACACTGTTTTTTTATTTGTATACTTATGTATTATAAGCTTGTACGATATGTCGTAAGATTTAACGACGGCTTCGTACTGATATTGGCTTTGGTTTTTGCTTCATCTTTCTACTCTGACTTATGTCAAAATGCAATACGACCGAATATAAAGCACATCGCACGATGCACTACAGTACTGAGAAATGTCGACTCTGTCAAAGATCGCATTTTGGCATTTTTTTAGTTAAGTATGTCGGAACGTAACACGATCCAAGCGCGGAGCACTATTATATACATAATAATGCCTTCAAATGTCGACTTATATACGACCGAAGGCACTTAGCAATACACAATAGTACGGTGAGATACCGAATAAAATGCAGCCCTGTTGACACATTGCAACACTATCCAACATCGATTCTGTCAAAGTGTGAGGTTATCCCATTCCGCCATTGCGACGGCGCACGTAACTTAATGTCGTTCGTTGTTCGTTGTCGACCGCACTCATCGACGATGTTATGCCCGCCCCGTTTCTATTTGCAGCGAGGAAGTGGAGCGTTGCCAGAAATGGAGTGACAATATTACTCAGCAGATCGACCTTGCCTTTAACATATTTTTTATGGTCTACTTTTTTATACGAGTAAGTGTTTAGCATTAGCACTGTTGATGCACGTTGTTGTCTTTTTAAATTTCAAAACGGTTATCAAGAACGGTTGTCACAACCGCCGCTGCCGTTGTCAATAAACGCAACACACCGCTTCTGGTGGTGCATGAATGGATCAGCTCGTCCGGAGAAGTAACACTGGCCATGTTCAGTGGCACAGAGGTTCAGCGTCAAGTAGAAGCATACATAAGTTTCAGCTTGTAGGTCTCGAGTCTTGTAGATTTTGTTCATAAATATTATAAGATAGTGATCTTCGGACAAAATAATTCAGGTAAAGCTGAAAGCACACTACTGGGAGTCAAAACCATGACATATCTTCTAGTCCTGTCTATAAACCACTTCTTTCAAGCGCAATCCCCACATCAAGTGCTTTTTGTTAAAATACATTGAAAAATGTGAAATAAAAAACGCAATGTTTGGAAGTGGATGTAGATAACGGCCTTGTCCAGTCAAAATTTTAGAAGGCATCTGGGAAGATGTATTTGCTGACTAATATAACTTTTTCTGTTTCAGTTTATAGCAGCTAGTGACAAACTATGGTTCATGCTCGAAATGTATTCATTTGTAGATTATTTCACAATACCCCCCTCCTTTGTATCTATATACCTGGACAGAACGTGGATAGGTAAGTCATCTAATAGTAAAATAGCTTTATACTTTCAGTCATCAAACCTTTTCGTAACTTCTTTAAAAATAATACCTACGATATAGTTTTGTATTGATACATTTTAATTTTCAAACGTAGAGCTCACGATTCGTCATAGTTAAGATTTAGTAGACCACAAGGCTTACTAATGAACCGGGAGCTACTAGAAAATTCCACGTCATGGGACCAAACTCTGACTACTCACCACGCACCTTCACACTATTTTGTTTTTTTCCAGGGCTGAGGTTCCTACGAGCTCTACGCTTAATGACCGTGCCTGATATTTTGCAGTACCTTAATATATTAAAGACATCGAGCTCGATACGGCTGGCCCAATTAGTTTCTATATTTATATCGGTATGGTTGACCGCGGCCGGTATTATACATTTGGTAAGTACCGTCTGTTTGACACGACCAAATTATGAATCAAGAAGCGCTATAAAATTAAAGATGCATAACATTAACACGGCGATGTACTCCAAAACACGCATGCTAGTATAACTCTCGTTCCGAACATTGCAGAAGTGTTCAAAAGTGCTTGCATTTCTTTTTCCAGCTGGAGAACTCTGGCGACCCGCTGGAGTTTGATAATGCGCAGTCACTCTCGTACTGGACTTGCGTGTACTTTCTTATAGTGACCATGTCCACTGTAGGTTACGGTGACGTGTTCTGTCACACTGTTCTCGGCAGAACATTTTTGGTTTTTTTTCTCCTTGTCGGCTTGGTAAGTTTCAGTGTCTCCTACCATCCTGTTTAAATTTAATACGGAATAAATGTTATCAATATACAATTACGTTCAACTACTGTACATTTTTGCAAGGAGAGGCAAGTCTTAGTGATATGAATAACAGGTCGTGGTTACCGCGTCCCCCGGGAATTAGCTTACAGCCATCGCGTCGATTAGTGTAACGCTTGCAATTCCTTGCATATTAAGCCAAACTGATAACAAAGCAAAAGGAAATCTAATGGTGACTCGCTGCGAGATATCTTCTATAGCTCACGATGGGACCTAGACCTTTGTATTAATGAACGCACAGCTCTATGAATGATTGTACGCCTAACTAGTGCACCTAGACAGCATGCGAGTAACTTGGACCTTGCGCGCCGTACGTCGGCCGTTGCCGCCAGCTCAATGTGCAGTCTCTCTTCTAACTTCTGCGTCGCAACGAGACGGGGTCCGGCGACACACGATACGGGCACCGCTCGGGGCGATTTCAACTCTGCATGGGTGTATTTTGTTTTTCTTTTGCTTTGTTATGTGATTACTTACCACGTATGCGCTGCCGGAGGTTCTCTGACCGTGCTTAAGTGTAATGGGGACTGTGGTACGAGTGGTACGACACGAGACACGTAGATGTCGCGGAGGCGCCCGCCGCGCGCCGGTCCCGCGCCGCGTCCCACCCCTCCCACCTCGCGATCTCTGCATGCGCACCTGTGCCTGGCTGTGTTCAGTTGCTCACATCACCGGTAGACACACACTTGTTCCTTTTATTTTTATTTCGCTCCGCTACCGGCTACACTCTACTGTATGTCACCATAGTATACCGAGACTCCAGGTGGACATTGTCGTGCACCACGCGATGGTGTCCGCGTGCGTTCACACTCGATGTACGATCGGCACCATGGTCTGTTGCAGGCAATGTTCGCTAGTAGCATTCCTGAAATTATAGAGCTGGTAGGAAGTAGGTCCAAGTACAGTGGCGAGCTGAAGCGTGAACATGGAAAAAGGTATCAATTTGATGTTTAAGTTGAGAGACGCGAGTGAAGGCGATCCATTCCGCACGCGCGCGGCGCTTAAGCTACGGTCGCGCTGCCGTGCTCGGTCTGGGTCGCTCGATCTCTCGAAGACGATGTGAACTCATCACCTATACGAAAGCTTGCTCAGTGCCGTCAGATGTATTGTGTTATCTACTCGCGCACACCCGTTGGTCCCGGGGGCGAGTTACGGCTGGACCTCGGTCCTGTGCCATCGTCTTCACGAGCTGAGCTTCCGAGCCGCGCGCCGCTGGCACAGGGGCGGGTCTCAGCCAACGCGCGCGCCCTCGACGGCCCACCCGTGTGCGTGCTCTACCAAGCGTCTATACCGAATGCCCATCGTCTTAGACTAGGAACCGGTGATACCGATTTCTTTTTAAGTTCTGTTCATCGATTAGTTAGCGTATGAGTCCAGGCTTTGCATGCACCCGGTCACGAGTCCCGTCACGGCTTGCCGTCACGTAGCTCCCGCTAGCGTAGCTCGGCACGGCACCCAAGTCCCGCACCCGTCCACACCATGCCACAGCCACACGCAGACAGACGACACTCAAGCCACACAGCCTTGTGCGAGCGCGAGGGTTCGCGGCGGGCCGGGGGGGCGGGCGCGCGGGGGGGCCGGTGCTCACCTCACGGTGTTTGCTGTGTATCGTAGGCTGTGTTCGCCAGCTGGATCCCCGAGATCACGGAGCTGGCGGCGCAGCGGAACAAATACGGCGGCCGGTACAACAAGGACGTCCGCCGCAGGTACCCTGCTCTCACGCCCCCGCTCCACATGGCTTCCTGCCTTCCCACCTCTCACGGTTTCAATCTGACTTGGTTGATTGAATGCGGAGTTTGCTAATGAAATTTATTAATCCTTCACTAGAATCGGTCTCTCGGTGCCGTGGCGCATGCTCGAAGAGTTAGCTCCCGGCGGCCGCGCCCCTCTCCCTGAACTCGAGAGACAGGCGCGCGGTCGACCGACGCACTACTACATGCCTTTTTTCGTAAATTCACTCGAGATACCGTTGAGCTTTTTAATCCTTCTAACGAGACTAGATCTGGAGAGAGCCGATGTAAAGTTTTGTAATGCTGTCAATGAAGTAGTGTTTGGTTTGTTCGCTTGCACACGATGCCTGTCGCCACGCTGTAGCGCTAGCTCCGGCACCTCGCCACGAGTCCCGAGATTACACACAGCCAGTGCCCGCGGCCCCTTCGCGCCCCCGAGCCCCCGCGCACCCCGCGCCCCCCGCGCCCCCCGCGCCCCCCGCGCCCCAAACATACTCACGCGGCCCACCAGCCGCACGCGCGCCAAACGCGCGGCGAGCCGCCCGCGCCCCCACCACGCCGGCGGCTCGCCGCGCTGCACGGACCACCGGTCCGCTTGAATGTGAACCTCTTGTTTTGTCTGTCGGCGTTTAGGCGATATTTGCCAGTTGTATCCCAGAGATAATTGACTTAATCGGCACTAGACCCAAGTATGGCGGCACCCTCAAGAATGAGCGGGGACGCAGGTGAGCCGCTGTCTTCAATCCGTTCCGTTGAATGTGTTCCGTGTTGTGAAATCTATATCTTCCTTTTCCTCTCTTAGCACGCTTCTGTGTTCTCACTTTATCTTTTGCGAGACGCGAGTCTCGAACGTTGTCTTTGTTTTTGAGTCGATATATTGATTGTAAATTTATCTTTGAATTGATTTAAGTTCAGTTGAATATAGACCAGCAGATAGTGGCTAGTGTTATCGCTCGTCATATAGGTATCATGATTATGTTCTGTTAGTGTACTGTACTGTTCTGTACCGACGTATTGATATGGAATGTTATACGTAAAAGCTTAGATACGGAGAGTTAAATGTTGAGTGGTATAGTAGTGAGTTGTTGTTGGCGTTGTCACATGTCGACACGTCGACAGCCGCGGCGCGGGCGCAGGCCGGTCCGGTCCGGCCGGTTTGAGCCGGTCGGCCCGGTCCGGACCGAGCGACCCTGAATCGGTCCTAACCGCACTGCCGCCCGCGTGGCGCTGCCGATGCGGCTCCGACTAGTGAGTGCATTGATGCCATCCACTCCGCTCGCCTCCCTTCTACCTCCCTGCCTGCACGACTTATGTAAATGTACTTTCTCTTATTCTTAATGTTGTCCCACTTTGTTGTATTGTTATATATGTAATGTAATTTTGAATCGACCCCCTCGGTAAATTTAGTGTAATGTATTTGCGTAAAAGATTCATAGAGCGTGGCAAGGCTGTGTGCATTGAGGACATTTTAACGCAAAAATAGATTTAGTTTTCAACATGCCATTCGACATTTTTGATATCATCCTAGCGGCGAATTTACACAGTTCATACATATAAAATTTTGGATTTAATGATTAATTTTTGACTTTATGCGAACTTTGAATGATTGATTAACAAAAAGGTAGAGAGAGAATTGTTACTTTGAAAAAAATGAATTCAGTTCCTTTGCCACACCTTAGATGAATACTTGTTTGCATGTTGTACGTAGAGACGTAAGCATAATGCATCCGATCTTTTGTTTTGTCTTTTTATTTTTCAATGTTTTATTTGACATTTGCCCCTGTATAACTTTGTTTAACACACGAACCTCCATCAATGTTCGAACACTATCGAATGTATGTCTGCAATCACACATTGCATTTGACCGCTGCCTACCCCTTCTTAATGTGAACTTATAAAGAATTGAGGCTCGATCCCAAACATCAGTTCCGATATTACTCAAACTAAATTATTAACTTAAACGAAAAAAATCTTTAAAAAAGTGTACTGAGATGCAAGCTTTTAATATCTTCTGAATTCAAGATAACGTAATGAAAGAAAATTATCTTGAAACATTAAGGAACGTTATCGCCCCTGGACTCTTGTGATAAAATCGATGCCCAATACAGTAATCGTCTTCTTTATTTTACCATTCCTTAATGTCGAAAGAAATTTTTTCGATTGTTCATACTTTCTCATTCAAACGTAACGATATCCACATATGAATGATTTCCGTGGTTTAGTAATTTTTATTCACTTCTGTGTGATAGTTGCTAGTATTATTGAAAAGGAAACAACTTCATCGCAAGTATCACACGCGTCGATTTGTCCTTCCGTTGGTGTCATACCTTCTGACTGTCTTTTAGTGTGGTAGATAGTTACACAAAACCTGAACGCTGCTGAGTTTGTTAATTCATTCATTTCTGATGACTATTTCCGGTCTACATTAAAAGTTCTATCTAAACATAACATTTTATTAAATTCACTCGATCAGAAATGAATGGAATTAGATATTGTGTTTATTAGCGGCTAACATTGTTAAAGTCTTTCATTTCCTCTGTTCTAAATTCTTTAATCCTACTAATTATCATTAAACTTTATTGATTTTTGAACGGTTGATCTCAATATAGACTTTTAACAATGTTGGCTCCTTCACGCTTACCTCACGTAATGTTCTGTTTAACCCTGCCGTGACCTTGAATGTGTGAATTTTATATTTTGTCAAAATTTAATTGATGTGGTCCCAGGTGTTAAATAAAACTTCAAATTGCTGTACTTCCTTCTGTCTATTTTCTTTGTTTGTATTGTGATGCTTCTCAAAATATTGCTTGTTTAAACTTACGTGTAAGCTCAAGTAAAACAAACGGCTTCTATGTAAGTCAACAGACGAAAATTTCTATAAACGCAATGCCTTAAATTTGCCACAAAAGACTTGCGAAATTTGATAGCAAATATGCTTACACTGCTTTTTGATATTTATTTCAGCAATTTATTTTTCGTAGAATTCAAATTATTGCAAACGTTATAAATGTTATAATACCTTTATGATATTTCAGGCATATAGTTGTGTGTGGACATATAACATACGAATCTGTAAGCCATTTTTTAAAAGACTTCCTACATGAAGACCGAGAGGACGTGGATGTTGAGGTTGTTTTTTTACATAGGTAAGCTAATTTTTCCAATAGGGAATAAAGATTACTATTCTTTACAAAGACAACTGTACCTTAAAAACTAGTCAAACGAGTCCCAAATTGAACTTATCGTTAATCGTATATGAATAATTTTAACCCAGGGTAGCGCCACTATGTTGCAGTTTTTCTAAGAATCATGTAGCAGCATTCTCTTCAAAGAAAAGAATTGTCCTTAGCAGTGGCATGATGTTATAAATATTTCGTACTGACATACATTGCAAACGATAGTAACTAAAGCTATATACATAACCCGACACTACCCCTGGTGGTGACGGTGTGTTATCTATGATGCAACGACGCTTTCAGAAAAGAGCCCGACCTTGAGCTGGAAGGTCTCCTGAAGCGTCACTACACAACCGTCGAGTTTTTTCAGGGTACAATGATGAATGCCGTGGACCTTGAACGCGTCAAGGTTAGAGTAAGACCGAATAGTGCAGGCATTAGTAAAACGCACGGCCCTATTTATCATTGATACGCGTCGGCGTAAACCAGTTTTTGTTTCGTTCATATATATATATTTATATATGCATAAACAGATCTTTTTCCTTCCGTAAAGATAAGCCGTTTCATAGCCACAGTAGGAGTTTATCACTTACGTAAATTTATCTTGGTTCTATGCAATCATCGCTTTAACGGCGGGAATGCGGCCCGCCTTCCCGCCACCCACTACCGCGTATTTTGGTACAACCTAGCGTGCATGGTAACATCGACCCGCGCCAGGCGGCGGACTGACCAGTAAAGCCCGTAGTGTTAACTAACAGTTGATGGCAGGAAACCGCCCGATTTGGAGCTCGAGGGCCTGTTCAAGAGGCACTTTACCACTGTGGAATTCTTTCAAGGCACCATTATGAATCCAATCGACCTACAGAGGGTGAAAGTAAGTAGCACCGCACAGATGTGGATATGCGATTGACCTTTTGGGCGTGGTGTCGGTTTGAAGCTGTGCAGACTATCCTTCCTATAGACGTAGAGCGATGCTCGTTCGTTGACCTTCCCGAGGTGTTCTTGAGTGGTGTACAGTTCCCTTCTAATGCCATGACTTGGAGGCTGTTTGTGCGTGTCTATCGCTAATGTGTCTGTTACTCTGTGTCCCGGCACGGCACCGCCCCGCCCCGGCCGCGCCCACGCCACTTTGTCTATCTGTACCTAATTACTGGGTGTTGTATGCGATGCTGACCACGTGTTCATACTCTAAACAATCGATATTGACTCCACTAAATTCGAATCGGACTATAACATTGGCATTAATGGCTGCCGACGAAAGGGTTACCATTTCAAAATTCGCTTTCACGAGTAGTTCGAATTTGTCGATTGTCGATATTGTCGAGTGTTTATGGTGAGTTATTGATGTCGATGCATGGCTTGTGAATCTCTTAGACGTTTGCATGGTATTTATATTTTCCACCGGC